GGCGGACGCGGCGTTCGTCGCAGAGCACCATCGCTTCCGCTCCGATGGGGGGGTCGCGAAGGCCGAGAAGGACGTTCGAGTTATGGGTTCGAACCAGTTGTTCGAGATGCCACGGGGCCCCTCGGAGGGCGGCGCCCACTGGGGCGCGGCGTGTTTCGCCCAGAGAGGCTTGCAGCTTCAGCGATTGAGTCTCTAGGGCGTTTCCCGGATGGCCCAGATTGGCTCGGGAACGCGCCGGCTTCTTGGAGTAGAAGTTGCACGGTCATCCCATTGCCGCGGGAACGCTGCACCTGGCGGCGACCGCAGGGGATCGTCGGCGGGTGCCTGAGTCGTTTGGAACAGATTCGGATTTCGCGGACGCCCCGTTGATCCCGCGGGCCCCCCACGGGGATTGAATCGCGCGCCCCGGCCCCCCGGGCGATCGCGGTTCCCCGGGCCCGGCGCGCGCGAGGGCGGCGGCGCCAAGCAATGTCGAGTTCACATGCAGCGCCAGGTGTTCCACGATTGACTTTGCCGCCTGCCCGACGGACCTGGCCCCCTTTGCGCGAGCGCAGGCCGCCCCGCATTCGCCGCCCAAGATGCGCGCGCGTCTTCGCGCGACGGACCCCGGAGGTCACCGCCCAAGTTGCTCGGCGCAGGCATCGCTCTGCGATGCTCCCCGAGGCGCGCGGGCCAGGCCGCGCCTTGCCCCTCTACCTCGACCTCGCCTGCAAGCAGGGTCATCATTTTCAGATTTCGCCTGATCTGAAGGAGTCCACACTGGAACGCGCCTCGGCTCACGCCAGCGCCCCGCGGCCATAGGATTACGCCCTGTGGTCTAGAGCATATGAGATGATATGCGTCCAGGGGTTGTGCGTTTTGGGAGGTCGTCGACAGCGTTTCGCAGCACTGCGCACCGTCTTCCTGGACCCATTCGGAGGCGCGGCCCCAACGAGCAGGCCTTCAACATGCCTTGTCCTTGTCCCTGGTCCGCGGTGCATTCTAGGCCACATGAGTTCTGGCGCGCGGCATTTCGCGGGCCCCGGCCTTCGCGCGCCCATCGGTCGCAGCCTTTGTTCGTCGCCAGATGCCAGCAACGCCGTTTTCACATTGAGCCACTGCAGACTCAAGACTGCGCTAAGCGGTGGCACGATGACGCGTCTGCTCCCCCATGCGCACCTGACCTTGTGCGTCGGTTAGTTAATCGCGCTACTGAAGTTTGCATGGCCTCAGTTTCGCGCGTGCGATCTGCCAGTGAGGAACGAGTCTAGAAGTGGCTGTGCGATGCTTTCCCTGGGGATTTCCCCATTCGATTCGAGCTGCAGGCTAGACACGGGGCGCATATATACACCGTTCGACAGGAAATGTTGGGAAGCGCTAGTTGAAAGCACGTAGACGGCTGACATCGGTCTGCTACCAGATCTGCGACTAAAAGACTGCTCGCGCTCGTCAAAAATTGGATAGGCGGTGTTGGTTTTCTTTACTTGATTCGAGCTGTAGGCAAGCTACGGAGCCGGGAATCAGATTGTTCGAATGGGAATGATCACGAGCGCTAGTCTGCAGTATCGAGACGAACTCGAGAGAAAGCATGATGACAAGATTGGCGTCGAATGCCCCGTGGCCCCTGGCGGCACTTGCCGGACCCCGGGGAGCACGTCTGGAGATCGCCAGAGTCTCTGCGTCAAGACGTTGTCTGCGCCCCCCTGGCCACGCGGTTATCCTCGACGGTGCGATGGGCGAGTTGCGTGTCCGAGCTGAGCTGGCGCACGTGGAGGCCCCTGGGTTCGCCCCGAAGGACGCGACGCAGTTTGCCGTGCGTTTCTCCGCCTCGAGCGCTGCGGGGGTCGACGAGTGGCCCCCGAGAGCGCCGCTGGACTTGCCCGGCCAAGTTCTGCCTCCGCGCGAGCAATTGCCCCCCCAGGCAGCTTCTTGGAATTCCACGGCGTTGACCCCGAGGTCGGCGAAGGATGAACGCGCGATATCTAAATAGTCTCTCCTTTATTACATGCATGCGCGGATGCGTGGCAATGAGACACATGGAGCGCAGAACATACCGATTCGCGTGAATCGGCCGCGCGCGGATCGTCGGCCCCCCGCGCCGCCTTGCCTTTCGAGTTGCGCCATGAGACAGCAGGGCCATTTAGTTGTTGAGTCATGTGCTCTGCACCCGGATGGACAAGCTTCTTGATATGTAGATCCCCATCGCTGTTGGTGCGGCTTGATTTGACCGTCGATGTTCTTACCCACCGGGTGCATGTCGCTTCACTCGCGCGCGCCTGCCCTCGGCTGCTGGAACTTGCCGGCGCGACGTCGGAAGTCATTCCCACGGGCCGCTCGATCCTCGCAGGGCGCGGCCAATCAATGCCGCGGGCGAATCGCATGTGCACGAGGTTCCCATCGTAAGTTGCCCATGCTTAATATTCGATCGCACGTTGACGATGTGGCGATATATATATATATATATATATATATATATACATATACATATAGATATGTATATATGATATATATATATGTTTATATATATATATCTATATATATATATATGTTTAGAGATGTGTGTATGATGTGGTGCGCTGGCCGCAAATTTCTGGCCGCCCTGCCAGGCGCCGCTGCTGCCTTCGCGTTGGACGTGAAGACCCTTGGTTATACTATCGCAGCGAAGTCTGCTGGCATTGCATCGTCAGCTTCGGTTGCTCGTGACATCGGCCCACTTGACAAGGCGGGGCATGGCGATGCCGAGCTCGCGCGTCAAGTTAGGGATGCGGGGGCATGACCACGGCGGGGAAAGGGGGGGCGCACGCGGCATGTCAAACTTCGCCATCGCAAAGGTTCGATACGATCGCGAAAGCATGAGCATGTGGCACGTTTTTGCGGGGAAGCCCAGGAGATTTGGAAAACCAGAGTTCTCAGGGCTGGATCCTGGAGCCATTCGGCCATTGGCCTCGCGATGGTCGGCGCGCGCAGTTCTCGCTCCCAAGCGGCCCAGAGCCTTCGCTATTGACGTTCGGGGGCTCGCAGTATCACGACCCCTGCAATTAATGATGATGCGTCTGACGGCCCTGCTTTTCGCGCGGGGAGGGAGCAGCTCCAGGCCATTGCCGATGTTTGGCGCAATGTCTCTGCAGGCCAGAAGCTCGGTGTCCGACGCACTTGGGATCAGCAGGGGGATCGGTTCGCTCGTTTGAATGCTAGGAGGCGCTGGGGGGACCACGGATGGACTCGTTGCCGCAACGGACTGCACCACTCTGGACCTTCCGTGGCCCCCCGGTTCTAGTATTTCTTGGTCTTGTTCAGCTGGCAATGTTTGCATCGACGACCCCGACAGCTGGCGCCATCTCGCCTCTGCTGCGCAGAGCACAGCGAACTGCGCGACATAGACCAAGGCGCCCATTTGATTTTAGATGTTCGCGGTGCCAGCTTGGAAAGAGGAGCGGGTTGAACGGCATTCAGGGGGATGCGTAAGTGCACGGTGCAGGAAGGGATGCAATCGGATGTGGTTTTCTCATTGGCCCTGCGTGGCTTGAAGTTCGACTGAGGGATGAGGGGTAGTCAACGAAAGGACTCTGTCCGAGATTTGGGCTCGAGAGCGGCACCCTTCTGGACTGTGCCTGGGAGCGCTCGTTCAATGATGCTGTCGACTCCGATCGCACGCTGAGGCCCCAAGAGTTAGCTGAGACGGCCCTGCAAGATGAGCACGCCAGATATGTTTGGAATCGGCTCATGCCTACATGCTCTGCTACTGTCGACCCATTGCCTCCGTCACGCAGTAGCGTTCAGTCTTGGCGTTTGTCCTCTGGAGAAAGCACCGCGCGCGGGGCCAAGTACGGGTTGGATGGACCAGGGGGAAAGATTGCCAAGGATCATAGATAGCGTCACGCGGATGACCCGTAGTACGACTTGACGATACCAGCGTGGATTAGATTGAGTTTAAGTGTGATGTTGTGTCATGTGGTACCTGACCGACTCGGGTTCAAGCGGCCCTTCGCCCTGCCCTGCACACGTTTATTGCGCTCCTGAAATGTTATACTGGGCCTGTGGTGGCTTACAGTGATTACCTCCCCCGTTCGGTGCCTTACACGTGGCCGATTGGATGTTGCTAAGGCGTCCCCGATGTTGAATCTCTTGGTTCAGATCTGGGAGTTGTTAAATGCCCGTGGTGGGCACGTCGAGGCGATGTGGACCAATGACCAAGGCCACTCCAGCGGCCTCTTGAGGCATGCTTGGGGCGCGTGGCTCAGCTGTTCCCGCATTGCTGTGCCGAGTTTTTTCGCCGGGAAGGCCGCCGCCCTAGGAGAGGTCCTTCCCGAGCATTTCGAGGTTCTGAATAAACTAGATGGCATGACCGCCCGAGCCCTGCAGCGCATTGCAGCGGCCACTTTGGAAGTTAGATCAACTTGTCGGAGGCTGGAGTCTGACCGAGTGGGGAGGCCCCCACTGCGCCCTCCCCCCACCCCGCCAGCTCCACCCTGAAGAAGGGGCCCAGGTGTGTTGGTTATGCCCTGCGTCTTGTTCACACCAGGCTTGAGTGCGCCATCTGCCATGTGAAATTCGAGGCGGCGAGAGCCAGGTGTGTAACTTCTGGCCTGGCAGATGCCGTGACGGAGTCGTGGTCCAGCTTGCTGCTACGAAGGACCATTCTCCGCATGTTTCGCTTGTCTTCGGAGGAGTTCTGTTCTGCCACAGCAGATTGGCGAAGCGTGCCGCGTGACGGTGGTACGATTCGAAGGCAGGCCCTCACTTGGCCCCACCAAAGCTGGAGCCAGTGTCCTGTCTCGTTTGTCCCGAGGGTTCCCCCCAAAGTACGGTGTGTAATTCCCCTCGGTGTGAGTTCGGCCCTCGAGTACTAGCCTGATCAGGGGAGCTTACATAGTCCAGACCAAAGGTCCTAATCCTCCTACTCCTACTCCTCCTCCTCCTCCTCCTCCTCCTCCTCTTCGTCGTCCTCCTCCTCCTCCCTTACCCCCCACCCCCCAATCCCTCTCCGCGTCGGGGGAGAGCGGAGCGACGGGCTCCAGCAGGGCTCGGCTGCCCCACGACGCCCTCCTCGCGGTTCGACTGCATGGAGGGGTACGCGGACTGGGTGCGGGATTGGTCCCAGGCCACCCCCTGACGTTGCCCGCGCCCGCCGACGAGCGAGGAGGAGGAGGAGGAGGAGGAGGAGGTCGAGGAGGTCGAGGAGGAGGAGGAGGAGGAGGTCGACGAGGAGGAGGTCGACGAGGAGGAGGAGGAGGAGGAGGAGGCGGAGGAGGAGGAGGAGGGGAAGGAGGGGGGGAGGAGAGGAGGAGGAGGAGGAGGAGGAGGAGGAGGAGGAAGAGCTTGTCCGTCGTTGTCGGCCTCCGTGGGCCCCCAGCGGCACAAAAAGCAACCTTCCAGAGAGCCTTCTGGCACAAAAACACAACCTTCCGGAGAGCCTTCCTGGCGTTGACCGCGCCCGCCGACGAGCGAGGAGGAGGAGGAGGAGGAGGAGGAGGAGGAGGAGGAGGAGGAGGGGGAGGAGGTCGAGGAGGAGGAGGAGGAGGAGGAGGAGGAGGAGGGGGAGGAGGAGGAGGAGGAGGAGGTGCTGACTTCTCTGAACGACTGTCCATACCCACCCTCTTATGCGATGAGACTCGTGCAGCGCCAGGGGTGACCCCACGCGGGCCCTTGGAGCGGGAGATGTGGACGATGGTGGGCCCGTCCAGGAAACGACAATTTTGAGAAACAGCGTAGCAGCACGTGAACAGCACAGTGAGGCAGCAATCGTGAGTGAGCAGCAGCCCCCGTGAGGTGCTCTGCGTTCGTGGTTTCCAAAAGGCTTCGGAACCGCAGCAATGTTTTTCAGGCAGCGACCGCTTCAGGGAGTTAGAGGCTCGAGGGGTGACATCTTATCAGGTTTTGTCTCGTCCTCAGCCTTCACTCGATCACCACATACGCCGCAGCACATGTTCCGGGCCCGTTCCCGTTCATCCCGATCAGATTTGCAACCAGAGCCAAGCCTGCTCCACAGGACGTGGAAGGAGTTGGGGAGCGGGGACGGGGGCGGCGGGGGTTGGGATAGAGGGACCCGTGCCATGGGAACCTGCCCTCTAAAATGGCCGCGTGTCAGTACTCGGGTGCGGGTCGGCCAGTGCCGCACCTGCAGAGTGCGCTGGTGGATCTCGCTTGGATGTCACGGGTGGTCGCACAGCAGGTCGGCCAGTACCGCACATGCGGAGTGCGTTGGTTGATTTGACGTCGATGTTACGGGTGGTCGCACAGCAAAGTTACCAGGTTCAGAGACTTGCTTTTTGTACGTCGTTTTGTTTCGAATGGTCGGCAGTCTGGATGTGATCGGTGCAGGATTCCAGGAGACTGTTCATTCAATCCCCTTCTTCCTCATCATCTCGTGCAAGCGATTTTTGTTCAAATTGAGTTCGACATTGGTTCACCTCTAGTGGCCTTCGTAGAAGTCTTGCGCGCGACCAGCGCATTTGCCTCCCTTGCAGGGGCGCCAGCTTTCTGGCGACGGCAGCTTCGTTCGCTCCGTTCGGCCGTTCGTCCTCATCATCCTGCACCTCATCATCATTCCTTCTCACTCCTATCTCCGTCCCGCTTTCCTCGTTCCTCCTGCCCCCCATCCCTTTCCAACTCCTTATCCCCCCCTCGCCTGGCCAGAGGCCAAAAAGCAGTGGTGCTGCCGAATGAGGAACCGCGGCTGCCAGACCACCACCTTAAAGGCGCCCCACGATTGCGGCAGCGGTGACGTCGATTCCTGGCCGGCCGGAAAGAGCGTCTACTGCTGCGCGGCCACCGGCACCGGCTGCAAGTACACGAAGACGACCACCACGCCGCAGGATCAGAGCACCAGCCCGCTGGGCCACGAGCCCGCCTCGGACGAGGCGACCACCCGGCCGGCGGAGGCAACGACCACGTCGGCCGAGGCTGTCCAGGAGGCCCTGCCCAAGGCAGCGGGGAACAAGCAGCTAAGTACATTGGCATGGAGTGTCGGAGGTCTGCGCTCGCTTCTCCGATCGGCGCTGGACCCCTTCCCTGGCGCGCGGAGAGCGTCAGGGGCGGCGCCAGAGTTAGGTCGGGCTTGTCCCCCTACAGGGGGATTTTGGACGAAAATTTAAGATACCCCCAAACATACCCAAAATATTGTCAGACATAGTCGAAAAATCGTCCCCCGACTATTTTTTGACTATTTGTGAGCATTCCCCCTGTAGAGGGACACGTCCGACTTAACGCCAGAAGCACCGCCAGGGGGGTCCCAGCGCCGACCCGAGAAAGGCGCGGGGATTTCCGAAAGCTTGTGTTTGTGTAATTGCTTTTTCATCGGCCGGATGGCGATGGGGGGATCAGGACATGGGGGCATGAGTATCCTGTACCGTTTTGTTGGGGTACAATTTGTACCTTCTCTGCGGGTTTCAAGTACAAATTGTACCTTCTCCCCCCCGTTAACATCCTCGCACATGTCGCGGACGTTGTCAAAAGTACAATTTGTACCTTGACTGCGTGGCGTTGGTACAAATTGTACCTTCTCCGTGAGGCGTAGGTACAATTTGTACCTCGGTTGCGCCTCTCTCCCCCCCTGGACTTATCCCCCCGCGTGCATCCCGCCAATTTCCCCAGAGGCACCCGCCTCCTACGACTGCCGCCTGAGCACGGCCCCCTGGTCGACGGCCCAGCGCGCCTGGTGCTGCAGCAAGATGAGCGTCGGGTGCTCGCAGGACCACGCGGGCCGGAAGTACCTCGGGGGACGCTTGTTCGGCCAGATGAAGGTCAAAGGGGAAAATTCTTCACGCTTCGCGTATCCCCACCAGCCCATCTCAAAACAGCAACTCTTGCGAAGCATGCCGACAGTCGTGTTTTTCAGGCGTGTTTCCGCCTGCCCCCGCATATCTCCGGGCCTCTCGTCCTGGTGTGAGTCGTTCGGGCCCTTCTTCCTGGTGTGAGTCGTTCGGGCTCTTCGTCGTGGTTTGAGTCGTTCGGGCTCTTCGTCCTGGCGTGAGTCGTTCGGGCTTCTCGTGGTGTGAGTTGTTCGGGCCCTTCGTCCTGGTGTGAGTCGTTCGGGCTCCTCCTCCCGTTCGGGCTCCTCGTGGTGTGAGTCGTTCGGGGCCCTCGTCGTTCGGGCTCCTCGTGGTGTGAGTCGTTCGGGCGCCTCGTCCTGGTGTGAGTCGTTCGGGCCCCTCCTTGTGGTGTGAGTCGTTCGGGCTCTTCGTGGTGTGAGTCGTTCGGGCCCCTCGTGGGGGGGGCCTCTTGGAGCCTCTTGGGGCCTCTTGGGGGGGCCTCTGGGGCCTCTTGGGGCCTCTTGGGCCTCTTGGGGGCCTCTTGGGGGCCTCTTGGAGGCCTCTTGGGGCCGCTTGGGGGCCTCTGGGGGCCTCTTGGAGGCCCTTCTTGGGAGCCTCTTGGGGCCATCTTGGGGCCTCTTGCGACCTCCTCAGAAGCGCAAATGAGAGCTGCGCCCTGAGAAGGACAAAATGAGCCCAAAACCTCCGTAAAATCAATGATTTTGCTATAAAGGAAGATGAGCGCGGCCCCCTCAGGAGGCCAAAATGGGGCCAAAACCTTAGTAAAATCAACGATTCTGGCTTCAAAGAAGAGCAGAGGGGCCTATCTCCCTCCCCCCGTCGGGGCCAGAATCCCCGTGAGGGTCGTCGTTTTTTAGCCCTCCCAGGAGTCGAAAAAGACCCCTCCAACCACCCGCGAAACCCCCTCTCCAGGTCCAGGGGGAGGGGGTAGGGGGAGGGGTAAACCCCTCCCCGAAGGGGAAGAAGGGGGGTTGAGAACAGAGAGAGCTCCCTAAACCACTCACGCCCAAAGGGCTGGTGGGATTACCCTGCCACGTACCCAGCCCATCGGCACCAAGGGATGATATGAGGTGTGCCGACAACAGTGTGACAGCAACACTGCAAGAGACGGTGCACGGCGGATATCCGTATCGTGCGCAGTGCGTGCGGCCGACTCAAAAGTGGCGACAGCTTCACACCTTGGCCCCCCCCAGCAGCCCTCGAAAGTGGCGACAGCTTCACACGTCGCAGCCCCCCAGGCATGGCGAGGTCATTGTGGGGTCTGCGAGGGGCCCCACTGTGTGGTCCCTCAGCAGGCAGTTGCAGGCAGGTGCAGGCAGGCGAGAGGGGGACAGAGGGCGAAAGGAGGAGAAGAAGGGAGTTACCGACCCCTCTGCTCTATTCAAAACGAGAACCCAACCAAGGGAGGGTTAGGAAAAACATCCCAGCTCCCGTAATGTGCGTTTGCCGGACGCTCTTGCGCGCTTATTGAAGAGCCCTGGCATGTTCGATGTCTTACGCAGGCGCGCTTACGAACGGGCATCGCTTATCCATCCCAACCCTAATCATGGACGTGTGCCGAACGGTCCTGAGCCCTGTCTTGTTCAATGTCTTACGCAGGCGTGCTTACAGTCGAGTTTGATTAGCAGGTCGACCTTGCCAAATCAAGGGTACCTCATGTCCTGCGTTTCGCGACCCACGCCTTCTTAATTCCTATGGCAGTGTAGCCCTCGAAAAGGTCGTGTGTCCCCCCGCGTGTCCTTCCCAATCAAACTCGACTGTACGAACGGGCCTCGTGTATCGGGGAACTCGGTGCACGAGTGGTTTGCGGCCCTCCGGAAGGTGCGCCCGGAGGGCCCGCACGGGCCCGACCTCGCGGGGACGATCCAGGCGCTGGCGGTGACCGCCGTGGCCGCCTCCGCCACCGTGCTGGCCGCCTTCGCGCTGTGGCGGCAGTACTCCTTCGCGCCCAGGCCCGGCGGGCGCACAGGAGAGGGGGGGAGCGGGTAGGGGAGGGGGGCTTCTCGGGGGCGCCCAAAAGGGGTGGTGAGGATGGGCTGTGGAGGGTAAAAGGACCAGGGCCATGACATCTCCCAGATGTCATGCCCCTAGGCCTCCCAGCTGGGGGCTTTTTCGGGTGCGTCCAAGAGGGGTACAACGGCGGGGGCCAGGGATCTCCCAACTGTGATGCCCCGTTCGTGTTCTGTCAGCACGTCCCCTGCACCCCCCACGCGCACCTGCACACGCCTCGGGCCACGGTGCGCAGCTGTCCCCCTCAGTGGTCGTCGGCGCACCCAATGGAAGACATGTACACGCCACGCCTTCTGAGAGGCGGGCCCACGCCCTGTCGCGTCGTGAAAATTTCGCAGCGGCTTTTTTGAGGGGGAATGTTCGACGTCTTGAGGACCCCTCGCCGGGCCGAGACCTGCAGAGGTCCACGCTGGGAAGAGATCACGGCGTCGGGGTTCTGGGTAGGGCCTTCTAGGAAGGTCGCCACCCCTCGCCCAGCCTCCTTTCTCCTGGAGTGGACTGAAGTGGCTGGGGGCCCCAGGATGGCAGTGGGGCGAGGGACACTTCGGGCCATCCACGTTTCCGTGAACACCCGACTTTCCCAGACCCCCAATATCGTGTATGTTGAGCTCTCACTTTGAAGGGTAGTTATGTTTGATCCCCCCTCCCGTGCCCACTGTGTGTTGTCAAGTGAAATGCCCTTTCTGGGGATCGCACCTTATTTCTTACAAGGGGAAGTATTGGGCCTCAGATTGCGCCCAGGGCCCCCTGTTCACCACAAAAACGTCTCCCGCCGGATATGTCTTTGCAATCTTACCTAACAGCTGTTGCTGATAGGTTTCTAGTGGGGTCAAAAGAGAGCATCTTGACTCCCCAGGGGGGTCTGGGCGGGAACCGGACAGGGGATCCGGCAGAATCCGGCAGCCCCAGGAATCTTTAGGAATTCTTAGTAATCCTTAGGAATCCATTCCCAGAACACCATTCCCAGGCCACATTTTGAATGCCCGGAGCCAACTGTAGGCCATTTCGTGTTCTTCGTGTTCCCAGAACACCATGCCCAGGCCACATGTTGAATGCCTGGAGCCAACTGTAGGCCACTTCGTGTTCTTCGTCTTCCCAGAACTCCGTTCCCAGGCCACATGTTGAATGCCCAGAGCCAACTGTAGGCCACTTCGTGTTCTTCGTCTTCCCAGAACACCGTTCCCAGGCCACATTTTGAATGCCTGGAGGACCTGGAGCCAACTGTAGGCCACTTCGTGTTCTTCGTGTTCCCAGAACACCATTCCCAGGCCATATTTTGAATGCCCGGAGCCAACTGTAGGCCACTTCGTGTTCTTCGTGTTCCCAGAACATAACTCCTGTACCATATTTTGATTGCCCGGAGCCAATTGTGATTGCCCGGAGCCAACTGTGGGCCACTTCGTGATCTTCGTGGTGCCAGAACACCAGTCATGTGCCATATGTCGAATGCTCGAGCTGAGGCAGGCTGAGGCCAAGGCAGCCTGAGGCCGAGGCTGAGGCTGAGGCTGAGGCTGAGGCTGAGGCAGGCTGAGGCTGAGGCAGGCTGAGGCTGAGGCTGACGCAGGCTGAGGCCGAGGCAGGCTGAGGCTGAGAGGCTGGGGCAGGCTGAGGCTGAGGCAGGCTGAGACTGAGGCTGAGGCAGGCTGACGCTGAGGCTGAGGCTGAGAGGCTGACGCTGAGGCTGAGTGAGGCAGGCTGAGGCTGAGGCCGAGGCAGGCTGAGGCTGAGGCTGAGGCAAGCCGAGGCAGGCTGAGGCTGAGGCTGAAGCTGAGGCAGGTTGAGGCTGAGGCTGTGGCTGAGGCTGAGGCTGAGGCCGAGGCAAGCTGCGGCTGAGGCAGGCTGAGGCTGAAGCTATGGCTGAGGATGAGGCAGGCTGAGACTGAGGCTGAGGCAGGCTGAGGCTGAGAGGCTGAGGCTGAGGCAGGCTGAGGCTGAGGCTGAGGCCGAGGCAGGCTGGGGCTGAGGCAAGCCGACGCAGACTGAGGCTGAAGCTGAGACAGGCTGAGGCTGAGGATGAGGCAAGCTGCGGCTGAGGCAGGCTGAGGATGAGGCTGATGGAGGCTGAGGCTGAGGCAGGCTGAGGCTGAGGCTGAGGCAGGCTGAGGCAGACTGAGACTGAGGCTGAGGCAGGCTGAGGCTGAGGCTGAGGCTGATGCAGGCTGAGGCTGAGAGGCTGACGCTGAGGCTGAGGCAGGCTGAGGCTGAGGCCGATGCTGAGGCTGAGGCTGAGGCAAGCCGAGGCAGGCTGAGGCTGAGGCTGAAGCTGAGGCAGGCTGAGGCTGTAGCTGAGGCTGAGGCTGTGGCTGAGGCAAGCTGCGGCTGAGGCAGGTTGAGGCTGAGGCTGATGCCGGCTGAGGCTGAGGCAGGCTGAGGCTGAGGCAGGCTGAGGCTGAGGCGGGCTGAGACTGAGGCTGAGGCCGAGGCTGAGGCTGATGCAGCTGAGGCTGAGATGCTGAGGCTGAGGCTGAGGCTGAGGCTGAGGCTGAGGCCGAGGCAGGCTGAGGCTGAGGCTGAGGCAAGCCGAGGCAGGCTGAGGCTGAGGCTGAAGCTGAGGCAGGCTGGGGCTGAGGCTGTGGCTGAGGATGAGGCAAGCTGCGGCTGAGGCAAGCTGAGGCTGAGGCTGATGCAGGCTGAGGCTGAGGCAGGCTGAGGCTGAGGCTGAGGCTGATGCAGGCTGAGGCTGAGAGGCTGACGCTGAGGCTGAGGCAGGCTGAGGCTGAGGCTGAGGCCGAGGCAGGGTGAGGCTGAGGCAAGCCCAGGCAGGCTGAGGCTGAGGCTGAAGCTGAGGCAGGCTGAGGCTGAGGCTGTAGCTGAGGCTGAGGCAAGCTGCGGCTGAGGCAGGCTGAGGCTGAGGCTGATGCAGGCTGAGGCTGAGGCAGGCTGAGGCTGAGGCTGAGGCAGGCTGAGGCTGACAGATATGCTTATACACATCGCTATTAGGTCTCTTTGCCGGGATAATATTGGACATCGCGCTCTCGAACGGCCCGGCCGTCTGGACCGGCCCGCCCGACCCGCCCGGCAGACCCACCCGTCGGGTTTTGCAGCTTGTTCTCCTGCTCCGAGCTCCCCTCCAGTCAATCTCTGTCGTGCTCCATCATTATCCCTCCCCCTTGTCCCTTGACTCCTCCCTCCCTTCCACCGTGCGCAAACGGCGCGTGGCAGATAAGGAAGATCTTCCGCATGGGGGATACGACCGAAGACGGAGAGGGCGTGTACCGAGGGTTTGGGATATACATGTTGAGTGGCATGCGAGCAGATAAAAGCGAACAGCCTTAACATGATTGTTGCTGCTGTTGTCTCAGTATCCCTTTCTCTCTCCCTCTATCTCTTTTTCAACTTCTCCCTCTCTCTCTCTATCGATGTCTCTAGTTTTTTATGTTCTCTCTTTCTCTCACTTTCGTTATACATTCCCCAAACACTGCTTGCACATAGGGGTTCTTAGTCAAAACTCAGTAAGGACGCACGGGTGTCCTCAGGGTACCCTTGCGTCCTTGCCTCTGCGGCCCGTCCTTCGCGGTTTTCATTGGCCAGCCTTTCAGGGTGTTGGCAGTCCGCCGGCCGTAATGTGCCGACCTCGGCGTCCAAGGCCCTTGCGTCCTGACCGTCCGTCCTTACCATAGATTTCGATTGTACTTCTGTTCTGAGGAACTCGGCCGTGTCTTCGGTCTGGCGGCTAAGTGGCCGCCGTCGCCCTGTCGCCGCCTCGTCGCCGCCCGTCGTCTGGGCCGTGTCTTCGGTTGGGCGGCTAAGTAGCCGCCGTCGCCGCCTCGTCGCCGCCTCGTCGTCTGGGCCGTGTCTTCACTCTGGTGGCTAAGTGGCCGCCGTCGCCGCCCCGTCGCCGCCCGTCGTTTGGTCCGTGTCTTCGGTTGGGCGGCTATGTGGCCGCCGTCGCCGTCTCGTCGCCGCCCTACAGTGCACAATATAGATTGCACCACACAGATTGCACCGCATAGAATGCACAATATAGATTGCACCACATAGCTTCCACAACATAGATTGCACCGCATATATTGCACCACATGGATTGCACAAATTACCTTGCACCACATGGAGTGCACAGCACATATTGCACCACATGGATTGTACAAGATGGATTGCCCCACATAGAGCGTACAACACAGATTGCAACACACACATATGTATATAGATATGCATTGTATGTTGCACGACTTAGACTGCACCACATAGTTTGCACAAAATAGACTGAACTGCATAGATTGCACACCACATGGATTGCATAACATAGATTGCATCACATGGGGTACGAACCACAGATTGCACCACATAGGGTGCACCACATCGATTGCACAACACATAATGCTAGAAAACACTGTTTGGGGTCCACGCTGGCAGCATGTTCATAATAGTACGAATAGGAATAACAATAGTAATATTAATAATACGAATGCTAATAACAACAAGAAGAATGACAATAATAATAATGATAAGAATGATAATAATGCTAGTCATGCGAATGGTAATAACCAGAGTGATAATAATGATAATGATAATATAACAGAAATACAGTTTCCCCCTCCCTGGGGCTCCGCCCAGAACGCAACCATCGGCGGCAAATCCCCAGTGCCACCCTCCCGGGCGTCCAAGAGAGCCCCTGGAGGGCCCAGACCGCCCCCGAGAGCCCAAGAGTGCTCCAAGGCAGTCCAAGACGGCCCCCCGACGGCTCTGGAGGCCCCGAAGCGCACCGCAGATCGCCCCAAGAGGCCTTCAAAAGTCCTCCAAGAGTTCCGGGGAAGCCCTTGAGAGGCCAAGATCATGAAAAACCCAAGGAACATCTCTGATGGTTGAGTTCTCGCATTTTCGCCTCCGATACGCTTCCGAGGCTTGCGCATGCCCCCCAAGAGAGCTCCAAGATGCCCCCAAGAGGCGTCCCGACCGGCACGAAGGGCCCCCAAGAGGCCGCAAGAGGCTCCCATGACGCTCG